TGCTATTTTATCCAAAAAGAAATATATTAGATGTTTTTTGTAAAAATAAATAAATTATAAACACTACAAGACATGTTTTCATAAAAAAAAAAAAAAGAACAAATATTAAACGTTAATGTTTATGTTTACAGTTTTTATTTATATTTACAAAAAATTTTGAAAACTGTAAAACAAAAACTCGTTTGAGTTTGTTTCGTTTCAAAAATTAATAAATAGTTCAGTCAAATTAGCAAAATTTTTCTAACGCCAACAAAGTTCAATTTCATTGTTTAATTTTTTTTCCTTCATTTTTTCTCTTTTCTTCAACCTATTTCCAACCACCATATCCATTGCCTATCCAAAAAATCCACAGCCAACAATACATGACCTCCTCGGACCATCAACTCCCGCTGCCGCAACCACACTCCCACTAGTAGTAACCACTTTTGGCAGCCACCACACGTCTGATTGGTCGTTCAATCACCTTCGCAGCCACCACCTCCTTCGATTGTCATGCAAACACTTTCGGCACCATTTTAACAGCCAACATACCACGAGCCCATCCTCTTTCATTTGTTTTGAAAACAAAAATTCCAAAACACGTGTACCAAACATGTTTTTGTTTTGTGTTTACAAAAAAAATAAAATCATAAACATGTTTAATTGTTTTTTGTAAACTAACCATGTAGAAGAACCCACATTTAAATATTCCTAAAAGAAATAGATGAATAAATTAATTATTAATTTGTACCCAGATCTTTCTAAATATATATGAGTGTATTAAAACTAGTTTGTAACTTAACCAATTCAATCACTAACAAAAACATATTATAAGAATGATAATTTTGTGGATGTTCAATATTTGTTGTTTATAAATTTATTTTAATAAGAGTTCCAAACATGATAATTATCCCCTTATAAATACCTTAGTTAAAAACCTTAGCTTTATCAAATTTTAAGAACCACACAAATAAAAAATAAAATTAAAAAAACCAGAAATCAAATTTCGAATTTCTGTGGCAATGAATGCCACTTGTTCTTATGCATGGCATTGTAGATTGTGCTAAATCATTTCCCTGGATTTTAAAAATTGGATTAGACTCCACGAATGATTGAGAAGAGAGGAGAGAGAGAGAGAGAGAGAGAGACACTTTAACCCCTATCTTCACATCTCCAACAGCTGCACAGAGAGGCGCCAAGAAATCTATTTCTCATACCCCACACACAAACCAAAGCTTGAGCATATTCCAATCTACTCAACCCATACCTCATCACTCATTCCAGTCACAGTTCCATATTGTTCATGGCCTCCCCTCATGGTGCTGAAACAACAACAGAATTTCTTATCCATTGCACCCTGCTTCTCATGACTGCCATGGATTTACCAACTCCCTCCATTGAAGCTTCTCTAAAAGCTCTCAAACCCCATTTTTATTCTTTCGATTGGCTTCATTGGGTACCAACACATTGGCGCGGCGTTTAAGGCATCAAGTCTATCTGTTTACTCTCGTCGTTAGCCGCGATGGTTTCTACGTGTTCAGTCCAAGCTAAAAACTCCATGACCAAGTTGAGTTGACAGAGGCTGATCTGGTGCAACCACCAATTTGCTTCCCTCCTTCCATTAACGGAGTTCACCATGAAGCTCGGTGCATATTGATCATGCACTAAAACGCAAATTTTGGTGGTATAATCAATTCATGGAAGGTTTTCATCTCCCAAGCTGATTGTGATGGCCATTGGTTTTCAAAGCTTTTGCAGAGATTGAAGAGCGTTTCTATGATTACATTGAAAAGCAGTTGGGAAGGAGCCTCAAGTGAGGAGTCTATTAATATGCCTACTACAAGTGCACATTTCTTACTCAAAACTGATCGAGGGAAATTCTTGTGAGCAACAAAGGCTTTAGTAGACGAAGAGGAGATTAAGAATATAAAATTTCACCATTTCATCATCCTATTTCAATCCTATTACTTAAGAAAATTCCTCTTAACCCACTCATTTTTTTTAAAAGTTAAAAATTTCAGATCTGCGTTCATAGCATAATTATAGATAGAATTTATTTATCAGTTGTATATAAATTTGTGGATTTATATATATCAATTTGAAGTATTGGTAGTCTTAAAATCATGTGGTAATTATTGTGAAATTAGACTTTGCATGTGTAGTTTATATCATTAAAAAATGATTGAATATTATATTTGTCCTTAAACTGCCAAACATTGTACGAATTTTTAGAAATTTTATACTCAAAACTGTGAGATGATTTCTTCTACAAAGTTTGTTGAGAATGATGTCTAATTCCATCCAGGATTTTTGTCCCGGAAGCAGCAGCAGCAGCAGTGGGATGAGGCTGATTCCTAGAAGTAGGAATAAGGCAATTTTGAGACTGGTTGCCGGAACGATGAAAGCTTCCCCGGGCAGAGCCACCGCGAGAGGAGTGGCTATTGGACGATGATCGGGATGGATTGCGAAAACAATCCTGTTGCAGATAACCAGGACCAAGTTTGTTGCAGTAGCGGCAGGATCTGACGGGGCAATTGACCAGGAGATGGGTTGAAGGAAGGCCCCGATTCTGACAATAGAGGCAAGCAGTTGTCCGCTGGGTAAATGATGGCCGGGACGGGGGAGTGGCAAGAACAGAGTCCACATGATGAGTTTGAAGAGTACCTAGACGGGTCTCCTCTGATAGCAACTCAGAAATGGCTTGTTCAAGAGTGGGCAAGGGATGGCGATGAAGCAGAGAGGCACGTACGGGCTCAAAAGAGGGGGTAAGAGCCATGAGAAATTGCACCAACCTTTGCTGGTTGCGATGGTTAGTAAATAAAACTGCATCTTCGAGGTCATGCCATGTTGGTTCTGAAAGAGCAAGCTGATCCCAAACAGAGTACATTTGAGAAAGAAAGTCATTAATGGACTGAGTGGATTCTTGGCGCATGCGGTGAAGTTGGGTCTGAAGTTGGTATTGGTGGGCAAGACCAGTAGTCTGGTATCGTTCTTTCAAGAAATCCCAGATGTCTTTTGCAGGGGTAGTTACAGAGTCAAGCTGAAAGCGACCAAACTGAAGACTGATAGAGGTAACAGAGGTATTACGAAACCAGGTGATGATTTGGTAATTCTTACTGTCCCATTCCTCAAGTCGGTCTTCAAATGTAGCAGTAGGAACAGTAGTTTCATTAGTGTCACTGTCTTTCACCGGTTTAGTCACATCCCCGGTGACAATTCGCCAGAGCTTCTTCCCTTTTAGGAAGGAGGACATGGCTTGGGCCCACAGAACATAGTTTGAACCATTCAAAATAACGGAAATAGGATGGGAGGCATCAAGACGATCCATAATACTAGTTGAATAGGGTTGAAAGTAATAGATAGACCTGTAGGAGCAAAATTAGGTAAAACAGAGTGTACCAGTGAGTCCGGAAGGTCGAAAATAGCCAGAAAAAGTATGCTGGACAGAGATGATGTCAGCAAAGATGTCAGCGGCGCACGTTAGCAGAGTGCAGAAAGGAGCACGTTAGCAGGAAGCGGAGGTGCACGATAGCTGTCAGGCGCAGACGCGGCGCACGGTAGTTGTTTCGGCGCACGCGGGTGCACAGTAGTGAAATGGCGCACGAGAGGCGCACAGTAGCAGGCGCGGCGTACGGAAGAGATAGGGCTGACGTCAGCCGCGGGTTGTGTGGGCGCGTGTGGTCGCCTGTCGGAAGTGACAGACGACGGATGGCGCGTGCGGGCGCGTATGAGAGTGGTGGCGGAACTGATGACGCGCAGTGGACAACGGCGGCGCGTGTGGGCGCGTGGAAGGTTGTCTGAGGCCGGGCTTGGTGCCGTTGGACTCGTGAGGAAATTTCGAGTGGTTTGGTGTAGTGCCGCTGTGTATGGGACTAAACACCAAAATCACAAATTGCCAGAAATGTAACTCTGGGCTCTGATACCATGAAACAATAATTTGAGAAAGTGAGAGAGGATAGAGAGAGAGAGAGACACACAATTGTTTTATCTGTCAAAAAATGTAATTACACACAGAGAAGGCACTCTCTTTTATAGAGAGAAATGGATGCCTTGGATGCCTTGGAGAATGTCCACCGAAAGCATGCCTATGATGATGTCCACCTAAAGTATACAATTATACAATTACCACCGAAAGTAAACTAAAGTATACAATTATACAATTATATACAATTTATATATTAACACAATGATACACTAACACACTTCATTGGAGATATATAGCTTCTGCTGCTCAGTGTCCTTTAAGAATTTTCTTTGACCTGCTTCTGCCAGTGCTTGCTATGCTAAAAAAGTTACAACTTGTTAATCAATTGACTACTCACATGATACTCATCCACCTCATTATCATAGCTATAGCTTCTGCTGGTTGGTGTCTGTTGAGGATTTTCTTTAACTTGCTTCTTCCAGTGCTTGCTATGCTAAAGTTACGACTTGTCAATCAATTGACTATACTACAAATTTATAAATTGTTAGTTGTACAACATAATGTGAGCTGATTCTATTTTCTACTCTTGAAGTCATCAATGTTTTGACACATATTGAACTCGAAAACTTTGTACAACTGAATTGATTGTTTGAGATTGTGTAATTGCACAAACTTAATAATATCATTCCATCTTTATGGCTAGTGAAGTTTGTGCCTCTCGGATTGTGAGAATTTATCTTTGGTGGCTAGGTTGCTTGTGTTGCTTGCCTGTAGGTGTGGTTTTGTTGCCCTCATGGGCGTGTCTCTGGGAGCCCTTTGAGTTCGTGTTTTGGAGCTTTGTTGTATGTCTTTCTTTTTGGTAATAAAATGATTACTCACCAAAAATAAAAGGGCAACTGAAGTTTCATTTTGATGCAAAGTTTAGGATTATGCTGTCTGATGTATCACTGCTCCAGTGCAAGCCTGATTTCTGAATCGGCATTTTTTAAATGCATCTATACTTATTTATTTTTTGCTTCTTTTAGCATATCTGCTTCTATACTTAATTTTTAACCCGCCACGTAGTTTCACTCATTTATTTACTTTTTTCTCGCAGCTCATTATAGATGTGAACATAGCTGTTGCAGTTGAAGCTATCCAGGCAATTGGGAATCTTGCTAGGGGCCTAAGAACCCATTTCTCTGGAAACTCACGCTTCTTATTACCCGTTTTACTTGTGAGCTTATCACTGAAGCTGTAGTTGCCCTTTTAATTTCAAGTTTGTGTTCTTACATTTATAGTGGGATGAGACATATTCATGAATTATGTCATGATAGCCAACATAGTTTGTGTAACTGTGTTTCCTTAATTCAGTCCCTGTTCTTTTATTACATTTGGAGTCACTGGAGGTGGCATGCATTTTAGCTGTGGCTACTAAAATTTATTGCTATAAAAGAAAAAAAAAAAAAAACTGCTTTTGCGATTGATCCTTTGTTAGTCTTTTTTTTTTTTTTGTGTGGTTATTTTGTTTAACTATTATTTGGTTGGCTTCTTAGATGCTTTAACCCACAGCATATACATTTTCTGTTCTTGTTAACCTGCCTATGCTGACATGGAGCAAACATTTAAATTTATGCGGGTCAAAAAATTGATAGTTTAAACATTGTAAATGCCTTTCATTCCTTTATGTAATTTTATCAGCTCCATTTCTTTTTTTTTTAATAAAGATATGAAAAAGGATTGCCTGACATACTTTAAATTTGCTGGATGGAGAAATTTCAATGTGGTCCTATATTTATTGTTTTTTTTTTTTTTTTTTGGTGTTTGAAAACTCTCTTTTTATCTTTCTTACTTTGGTAATGTTGCCAGTTTCCTGTTTTCTACAGAAATCAAGAAATATGTTTCCTTTTTTTTTCTTAATTTACAAAAATAACATGTCTGGTACACATGTTTTCAAAACATGTAAAAACAAAAACAAGAAAACATGTTAGGTGTGCTATTGAAGGGGTGGTGGTAGGAGGTGGGGGGTGGTTGGATGCTATGACCGGCAGTGGGAGTGTCCTGAGGTGGTGGGGTGGGAATGAGGGAATGGAACTTTTTTCTTGATTCCTAAAATTTTGACATTGTTTGAAAATGTTACCATTTTTTTGAAACAAAACAGTTTCCAACATATTTTTGTTTCCAATTTTTCAAAAATTATGAAAACGAAAAATCACCAATTATGTTGATTAGTTGTGTCAGTTATTTATATAATAAGTTTCTTCTTCAATAGGAAAAACTGAAGGAGAAAAAGCCTACTTTGACTGAGGCACTTGCTCAAACTCTCCAAGCGATGTACAAGTCTGGGAGCTTGAATCTTGCAGATATTTTTGAAGGTAGGTTTCACCAATATTAAATTTATTGCATTCGTTGTTGGAAACTTTTATGATGTCTTCTGCCACTATAATAATTTGGATGATTTGTAAAATCCTCTATTTTTGCCACATATATTGCCTACAAGTCTTTACTTATCAAAAAAATTCTACGAGGAGTCCTCTAAAATATGTATTTAATTAGTTTTCCTTCTTCATTTTGAGACTCTACATGTTGCAATTTTGACTGTTTTAGCTAGTAGAGCAGTTGATTGTTTTTTTTTGTTAAATTAATTTATTATTTTATATCTTTTGTTGCACTAAGTATTCTTTGGTACATGAGAACAGAACAATCTATAAAACCAAAATGAGTTGGATCCCTATCCCTGTTATTTCCTCATTTAATTACGATTCAGTACTTATTTTTTTCTTCTTCTTCTGATTGAAAATTTGAAGGCTTCTTGATGCAGCTATGTTGGTTTTTTTTTATTTTTTATTTTTTAATGTTTAATTAGTTGAAGAGTTTGCCAAAGGGAAATATGAAAACAAGAGAATATATAAACATCTCAGCCAATCAACGCTAGCCTATATCACAAACTACAGCAGAAACCCCAAGTCTCCAATTGAACTGTTGAATTGTTTTGCTCCTCTCCTTGCTCAACTATCTATATCTTCATTTGGGGGCCATAGTGACCATTAACATTCCAATTGCCAAGGAAAGAACCATGATTCATGCATTTAATGACTACAAAATTGAGATCTGATATAGACTTATAGGTCACCCCAAATGAATTTTGTTCTGAAAGGATAATGATTAAGCCTTGAAAGGGAGGCTGCTCTCAAGTCTTTAATAGAATTCACTTTTTTTTCTCTTCATGAAATTACCTAATTTTTTTATTGGGTGGGAATGCTGGCATGATATTGAACTGGAACTATCGATGTTGTCTGGCGTAGATCGCATCAATATTTTATTTTTTCAATGGGGCCTTTTCTTGCCTTTTCTTTTTGTCCCCTTTAACAAGTGTTAGGAACCTTTAAGAATAGGGAATAAATGTTTTTGCTAAATAAAAATTATGTTGCTGTCTACTGGTTTGTATTGTCATCATGTTATGATTTATTGATGCGATAGTTTAGCCAATGGAGGGTGTCCTTTTTTTTTTTTTTTTTTTGGTCTCATTGAATATGAGAATTGTTCTCTTGATTTTGTATGCTGAACATTGTGGATGTTACTTATGAACTTCATGCCAATTATACTAAAATACTGTTTACTGCAGATGTGAAGGCAGCGTCAAAAAACAAGGTTCCGCTTGTGCGCTCATTGACTTTAAACTGGGTCTCATTTTGTATTGAGACTAGCAACAAGGCTGTCGTTCTCAAAGTGCACAAGGAATATGTTCCGATATGCATGGAGGTTAGTGAATTTCATGCCATTATATCGAACTAGACTAATGCATATCAAATGTCTCAATGTTAGATTTTATGTTAGTGACTGAATTGTTATGACCTTAGATGTAAAACAGGTTCTTGATGTTAATTAGTGTTGCATCTTTTCCATGATAGCTCATCTTTAGTTCAAAATCTTAAGACAGTCATTCTTGAATATGGATCATCTTAAATTTATATCTTTATATATATACTTATTTTTGATATTGTTAATTCTATGTAAAATCAAATTATTTGTAGTGCCTCAACGATGGGACTCCAGAGGTGAGGGATGCAGCCTTTTCCGCTTTGGCCGCAGTGGGTAAGGTACTCCCTGCAATCACATTGCAACTTGAACAATGTCATGTCTTCCTAGTAAAACTTGATTGTTTATTTTTTTCTAAGTTTGTGAATTATTCTCTCTCTCTCTCTCTCTCTCTCTCCTAGTTGGTTGGCATGAGGCCTTTAGAAAAATTGTTGGAGAAACTTGATGATGTTAGAAGGAAAAAGCTTTCAGAAATGATTGGGGGTTCTGGAGCTGGTTCAGTTGGTACAAGTTCAGGTTTGGAATTACTTTAGTGTTTTAGTTTTGGACAATGATTCTTCTGCTAAACAAATGTACTCTCTTTGAGGTTTTCTGCTATTGTCATGATATGCCAGTTGCAGTCCAAACTTCCAGTGGAAACATTTCTTCTGTGGAGGTGGGTTTATTCTTTCCTTCAAATTAATTCTTATGCTTTATAATACCCTTTATCATCAGATTATAATATAGGATTATTACTTCATCTATCTATGATCTATTGGAAACTTTAGCTGTGAGCTACTAGGAGTGAGGGCTTTATGAAGTAATACTGACACTCATGTTTTTGGGGAAAGGAACATCTATACATGTAATGTTTTGGGATATTTAAAAAGGGTTATACTTTTACAATTTAGTCCTTCCTTTTTCTCTCTTCTATTAAAGATAAGAATCCAGGAAATTTTCATTAGATAAAAGATGAGATACAGTGGAAGGACCAAGTCAATAAGGAATCTATATAACCAAATATAAATCAAAGATGATATACTCTTCAGATCCGATAAAATTTCAAGGAGATTGAAAATGAGCCATCGTAGAAAGTAACTAATGAAATTGTCCTAGAGGGATGGGGGTGAATAGGGAAATTCTAATATTTTGTTTTTCAAGTCCTTTAAACCTAATTTATTCCTTGTTCAATGTGTTGGTTTATTGTCTTGAATAGCTCACAATAAAGTGACTTACTATTATATCCTGAAACCAATCTCTTAATGATGTCGAGGTTGTTTTCCATTTTTTTATATCATTCACCAAGTTTTATGCTCAGGGGTTATTCATCTAAACCATTAATTGCAACTAATCGTGTTCAAGTATTCATATTTTCAAGGTTAACAGACTCAATCATACATTCAAAGCATATAAAATGAAGTGCAAGTAATCTAAAAGATGACAACCAAGATTATAGTGGTTCAACACATTCCCTTATGCCTAAATCCACTCCCGGCCTACCTTGTGCCCACATCCACCAATCCAAATAGGTTTCTCTTATGTTCACTCTAAACTTTTACACCTATAGTTATTTCATTGGACAACCTAAAACCTTTACAACGTAGTATCAATCAACAAAATACAAATAATAGAATTTTCTCGGTGTTATTGAAGGCATGCTGAAGAGCTTGAGGCATGTGAGGCAGGCCCCTTTTTCAATTGTGCCAAATTTGTTAACAATGTGATATCAACCCTTTGATCTAATGAAACACATGTCCATGCATACCTGTGTCCGTGCCTAATTTGTTAAAGATGCGTGCTTAATTTGTTAAATGTCTGTGCCTCATGTTAAAGATGTGTGCCTGTGTCTGTGCTTAGCTGTCTTCTAAGGTAGTAATGATGCCACTGGTCTGGAACTCGATATCTAGCCTATGCCAGAATTGCATTGAATGCAAGTGGTAGATGGTTCCTTGAATTTCACTGGTTTTATTGTAATGCATCTCAACCAAATACTTGCCTTTTATAATCAGATTCTTTCTTTCTTGGAGAGAAAAAAAAAAAAAAGAAAAAAAGAAAAAAAAGAAGAAGAAGTAGATTTGCTATTTGTGCAATGAAAATTTTTGACCATAACCCAAATTTTATGGCACATAGTGTGGTTGTTTGGGAAGTTGGGTTAAATTTTTGGGTTGGTTGTTGTATTGAAAAATGTGTTTGAGGTTGAAATGACAAATTTGCCCCTAACATTATTTTTCCCAAAATTGATCTACAGGGGAAAAATGGTCATTTAACTGCTTGTGGGGATGATAAAAAAAAAGAGATATATATATATATATATATAAAAAAAAAGTGAGGAACAACATGATGTCTGAGAGCATCAATGAAGGTTTTAGAATAAAAAATAAAGTTTGATTAAAAAATAAAGTGGGCGGTGGATGGGTGTGATTAAACAAAGAAAAGTGAATTGGGTGTGTGTGCCCGACTAAATGTGAGAGAATGATGTCTGAGAGATTAATAAAATATGAGAGAGAAAGAGATTGAGTGGGTGATCCACGAGGCAAAAAGTCCTTCCCAACAATGCTCTCTAGCACTGAAGACTTTCCAGAGCTCTGGCCACCGACGACGGCGATGGAAGGAAGAGAGTCCCAGAGAGTGGGCAAAGCGCTCTCTTCGCCATGATCGCCTAGAGCAGTGCAAGCTCTCTGTAGTTTGTTGACCAGAGATATCAAGTTCTCCATGCTCGATGTAGAAGACCTAGTCGATGGTGACGATGACTTTCGATCCGTGCTCGCAGGCCAGATCTACATTGTACTCGACTGCTGCGACTAGATATCTGCCATGCTTGATCATCGCAACCAGATCTCCGAAGAAAGCCATGGACAGTGTAGGTCCTCTGGATGCAACTACCGTGTCCAATGAAGCTATCTATCACCGGAACGCCGACATGTCTATCATCCAATATAGAAACCCGAGGCCGACAATGATGGATCTAAAGAACGATGATCGGAGAGATGATATATACAGAGATGTATATGGATGCACATAGGAAATAGAAGAAGAAGATGAGAGAGAGAGAGATGTGACCCAAATCAGCGTGGTGGCGGGGCTGGGCACAGGGGCGCTTTACAAGGCGGCGTCGGGGCCGAGGTCGGCGGCGGTGGTTGCCGCGATTGGCGGCGTGGTGGTTGTGGTCGACGCTGCGGGCGGCGGCGATGTGGTGGACACCGGAGCCGGAGATGAGGACATTCTCTCTCTTTATATATAGATTGGTATGTATATCCTTCAAATGGTGCTATGCCCCAGAATGCCCAGTCTGATGGTGATTCATCAATACAACAATATTTGTGGGAGGGCTTGACTCTGATGTCACTGATGAAGATCTGAATGGGGCAGTTATTGGCAAGCAGAGGGTTCGCCTTTCTTGGGGTCGAAGTCCAGGAAATAGGCAGTTGAGAACGGACTCCACAACTCAGGTGAGCGGAGCTTATTACGGAAGGCAAGGTTATGGAGGTTTGAATTGGCTGAGATCCGGCGGGCGGTCAAGGCAAGGTTGCCGCCCGCCGGAAGGCGAAGAACACCAAGATCTTTAACCTATTGCTCTGATACCATATAAGAATTTATGTATTATTGATTGATGTATAGATGTAGTATTTTTTACAATTACAAGGATTCCTATTATATAGGAGTGTGTTTGGGAGTAGGTGGAGAGTAGGTGAAGTGGAGGTGGTAGTGGTGTAGTGGGTTAGGTTTAGTGGAGTAGGTGAGGTGGTAGTGGTGGTAGGTTTATGGTAAATTCTAACATTCATCTATCTATGATCTGTTGGAAACTTTAGCTGTGAGCTACTAGGAGTGAGGGCTTTATGAAGTAATACTGACACTCATGTTTTTGGGGGAAGGAACATCTATACATGTAATGTTTTGGGATATTTAAAAAGGGTTCTACTTTTACAATTTAGTCCTTCCTTTTTCTCTCTTCTATTAAAGATAAGAATCCAGGAAATTTTCATTAGATAAAAGATGCGATACAGTGGAAGGACCAAGTCAATAAGGAATCTATATAACCAAATATAAATCAAAGATGATATACTCTTCAGATCCGATAAAATTTCAAGGAGATTGAAAATGAGCCATCGTAGAAAGTAACTAAAGAAATTGTCCTAGAGGGATGGGGGTGAATAGGGAAATTCTAGTATTTTGTTTTTCAAGTCCTTTAAACCTAATTTATTCCTTGTTCAATGTGTTGGTTTATTGTCTTGAATAGCTCACAATAAAGTGACTTACTATTATATCCTGAAACCAATCTCTTAATGATGTCGAGGTTGTTTTCCATTTTTTTATATCATTCACCAAGTTTTATGCTCAGGGGTTATTCATCTAAACCATTAATTGCAACTAATCGTGTTCAAGTATTCATATTTTCAAGGTTAACAGACTCAATCATACATTCAAAGCATATAAAATGAAGTGCAAGTAATCTAAGAGATGACAACCAAGATTATAGTGGTTCAACACATTCCCTTATGCCTAAATCCACTCCCGGCCTACCTTGTGCCCACATCCACCAGTCCAAATAGGTTTTTCTTATGTTCACGCTAAACTTTTACACCTATAGTTATTTCATTGGACAACCTAAAACCTTTACAACGTAGTATCAATCAACAAAATACAAATAATAGGATTTTCTCGGTGTTATTGAAGGCATGCTGAAGAGCTTGAGGCATGTGAGGCGGGCCCCTTTTTCAATTGTGCCAAATTTGTTAACAATGTGATATCAACCCTTTGATCTAATGAAACACATGTCCATGCATACCTGTGTCCGTGCCTAATTTGTTAAAGATGCGTGCTTAATTTGTTAAATGTCTGTGCCTCATGTTAAAGATGTGTGCCTGTGTCTGTGCTTAGCTGTCTTCTAAGGTAGTAATGATGCCACTGGTCTGGAACTCGATATCTAGCCTATGCCAGAATTGCATTGAATGCAAGTGGTAGATGGTTCCTTGAATTTCACTGGTTTTATTGTAATGCATCTCAACCAAATACTTGCCTTTTATAATCAGATTCTTTCTTTCTTGGAGAGAAAAAAAAGAAAAAAGAAAAAATGAAAAAAAAGAAGAAGAAATAGATTTGCTATTTGTGCAATGAAAAATTTTGACCATAACCCAAATTTTATGGCACATAGTGTGGTTGTTTGGGAAGTGGCTATTTTTTAGGCTTTTTGGCTTTTTGACTGTTTTAGTAGGCTATTTTAGTTTTTGTGTTTGGGAAGTTGGGTTAAATTTTTGGGTTGGTTGTTGTATTGAAAAATGTGTTTGATGTTGAAATGACAAATTTGCCCCTAACATTATTTTTCCCAAAATTGATCTACAGGGGAAAAATGGTCATTTAACTGCTTGTGGGGATGGCAGTGATAGCCTCAGCCTACAGTGTTGGTCACAGTGTAGGCTGTCCGTGCGATAGCCACTGTTTTTCTTTTTTTTTTTTATAAAAAAAATCAATGGGTTAGTGTACTGTTTGAGGCTAAAAGGCTTTTTTATTGGTTGAGGCTATTTTAGCCTCAAACTTGGGTTCCCAAACACCCCCAGTGTTGCACAATAATCAGGTCACTCTACCCTTAAAGTTTGTGCCTTGTGGCATTTCCTTGGTCTTTGCTTTGGGTCATGAGATGACTCATCTCATGCATTTTGGATTACAAATCTTTTTCATGGATGATATTATCATTTCTATTTTCATTGTGGTAAAACTATTTTCGAGTACTCGCTTGGAGAAGTGTAAAATCAAATCATGATATAGTACTCCCTCCGTCCCATTTTTTTGTCCACCTTTCCATTTTGGTCCATCCCAAAATATTTGTCCACTTTCTATTTTGGGTATTGAAATTTTTTAGATGTCCAAATTACCCATTATACACAAGTACAAACACATTTTAAAATTCAAAATCAAAGGGTATTATTATGGTAAAAGTATTTTAAATTTTGAATTGATGTGTAATGACTGCTTGTTGGATTCCCCAAAATGGACAAATAAATTGAGACGGAGGGAGTAGTTAATTTAATCCTGATTGCTGAATGCGTGTAAAATTATGATCTCATGAATTTACACTTCTAAGATGTCACTCCAACCTATATACTTTGTTGTGGTTAGATAACTTCAATATTGTGCTGATGATAATCTGCTTGCAGGCTTCAGAAGGATCATTCACCAGAAGGTCAGCAGCAAGCATGCTTAGTGGGAAAAAGCATGTTCAAGCAGCTGTGAGTATTGTGTTCTTATAATATATTTTTTGTAGCATATTTGGTGTTATATGCATCTTGTGTTAGATAACATTCCCTGCATCTGGGTACTCGATTGATCTAGTCTAAGTGTTTTCTTAGCCTGCTAGTAAGAAAGGAGGGGCTGTAAAATCAGGTGTCAATAAAAAAGGAGATGCTGCCGGTCAATTAAAAACATCAAAACCAGTTGAACGTGAAGATGTTGAGGTAAATCATTGATTTTGTTTTATCTATTTGATGTTTGTCCTTTTTTTGCTTATTCTCAATGAACAAACATTGAAAGTTACACTACTTCTTGGCCTACTTAATATTTGCAGCCAGCTGATATGACTCTTGAAGAGATTGAAAGCAGATTAGGTTCTATTGTGCAAGCAGATTCTGTTTCAAAATTGAAGAGTGCTGTATGGAAAGAGCGGCTGGAAGGTTATTCTCTATGATCAATTTGGAAATTGTCAGTTTCTATGATTTGTCTTGAACTTTTACCACGAGTTTTAGTAATCATGATGGGTAATGCAAAAGTATAAAATTTTTTGACTTGATTTTCAGTGTATGAAACGTCACATGTGTGATTAATCAAATTTATGTGCCATTTTATTTGCCTATTTAGGTGAATTGCCATTTATTTTATTTTATTTTTTATTTTTATCATTTAGAAGGATGTAGCTGTGTATAGACAATAATAATATGTCTGAAATTTACCGTTATCCATAGAAATATATCTCACAAGGCCTAAGGCCCCGTTTGTTTCGTTGGATATAAAATGGAGGATATAATATGATGTGGGATTTAGTCAGGATATATAATGAATAGGATATAAGTATTGGATAGTATATCCCCAAGTCATGTTTGTTGACTTGATATATAAGATTGGATATATGTTATGCATGTTTGTTTTACAAAATATATTGTGGGATATAACACAAATTTATGTGCCATTTTATTTGCCTATTTAGGTGAATTGCCATTTTATTTTATTTTATTTTTATCATTTAGAAGGATGTAGCTGTGTATTGATAATAATAATATGTCTGAAATTTACCGTTATCCATAGAAATATATCTCACAAGGCCTAATGAGCTTTTTCTGTTTTTAATCAATATCTTGTTGGTTATGAGGAGTTAATTCGGTGGACACTTGGAAGGGAGAGATTCCATTTGTTCATTTATTTCCATGATTGTATCAGTTATATCAAGAGCATATAATTCTTCAATTGCCTCAATGGCCACATCTTCTTTACACTCAATATCATGGGACTTCTAGTTCTTTTGGAATCTGAATGATCTTGAAACCACCGAATTCTTTTCCTTTTTGGTGATTCTTGAGAATGTTTCTTTGTCTAATGTTTCCTTTGATAAAAGGGTGTGGATTCTTCGTTCTTCCAGGTTGTTCTCTTGGAAGTCCTGTTTTGATAGTCCTATTGACAATCCAAATGTACAATTACTTCCCCCTTAATGAGCTGATTTGGGATGCTTGTGTGCCCTCTTAAGGTTAAATTATTTGCATGAACATTTTTTTTTTGAACTGTTAAAAAAAAGAAAAAAAAAAGGATGCTTTAAGGTGTCATCACTGCATCTGTGGGCTTAGGCCCCGAGGTAGCTGGTTGCTGGCCTGATTTAACCCAATCCAAAGGAAGGGACCCACCATCGAGGCACCAATAGAGCTCAACCACACGCCATAGACGAGCTCAGGTTTCGAGGGGAGTATAGGCGGGATCTCCGAAGAGAGCCAGCTGTGAAGCAGCGGAATTCACCACTCCCAGGAATCTGGGTCACACTTGTGGAGAGGGATGCCTTCTCTACTAGGCCACCACCCCTGGTGGTTATTTGCATGGACATTGACTCATAAGAAACTTAATACAAATGATTTGGTTGAAAAGAGAAGGTCGCGTTGGTACTAGTTTCCGGAAAGTACGGAGAATTTATTTTTGCGTTGTCCTTTGACTCTATCTTTATGGTGGAAAGTATTTCATTTGATGGAGGATTGGGTTATACCATTCTCTTGTGAGAATTTGTTATGCATTAATTTTACAGGATTCGTTTCAAGTGCCTATGCTTTGGCTCTTTGGGGATGTGTTGTTTGTGCAGTTCTTTGGGTTTTATGTCTAGAAAGGAATGCTAGGATTTTTGTAGGAGATTGGGTTTGGGGGTCCCTTTCTCTTAAAGGGATTCAATTATTTTTATTTCTAGAGATTGAAGTGCTATTTGTAGAGTGTGAAGATTCCTTTCTCCCCCCTCCCCCTTTTTTTCTCTTCAGTTGGCTTCTTATCCCCTCTTCTTCTACTTGTTTACTTTTTAATAAATTTCTTTTGTTGCCAACAAAAATAAAAAAAATTCCTGAATAAGTTTCTGCTAGGTTGTGATTTGATTCCTCATTTGTAAGGTATGTTACCTAGAGATGTAACTGTTGTCTGATATAAGTGCTGAAACCTCAATTAGCGATCATTGAAATAGTGGTTGGATTGGAGTATGATTTGACCTGTTATTAAGTAGCTTAACAGGTGGATAAATATTAAAGTATTTGTATAAATTACTGGTTTAGTGTCTTGGCCAAAATTTTCTCAGGACCTTCTATGTGCAGAGGTGACGTGTTTATAATCATGCTTGTATGTGTTAAAACTTTTCTCTGTCTGACGGTTTGATTTTACCATTGTCAAGTCAATATTGCCTTATCCCTGTTGTAGGATCATTCAATTTCTTAGCTACACATACGCGACACATTTCATGTTGATTCATATCGTAGTGTGATAATCCCTGCTTCAAATTGTTCGTTTTTAACTTTTTATTTTATTTTTTAATTTTATGTCATACCTATAATGGCATCTTAGATTCGAGTTGGAAATCACTTGCTGATCATTTATTTTCTTTAAAGTTTGGGATTGTAGTAATTGTTATATGCCGTGTGCATGTTGTGATGTTGGGGTTTCTGGTTCAAATTTTATATATGTAGCAAGTAAAGTGATTAAGTTTTATCCTTTATATCCCTGTTTGGTTGTACATCCTTTATACCTTTTGTTTGTAATTTTGCCCGTGTTATACTCTCATCTCTTGCTGTTTCATTTAAGGCTTAACTAACACTTCCTCTCCCATTGTCGCAGCAATTGTCTCATTTAAAGAGCAAGTGGAAGGGATAGAGGAACTCGACCGGTCAGCAGAGGTCTTAATCCGTTTACTCTGTGCTGTTCCTGGATGGAGTGAGAAAAACGTTCAGGTATTTAACTTTTTTGCTTATCTTATTGGCGGGGAATGTATGGGTATTGATAGTTTATTGATCAGCATGTATGGAAAATTACAGGTCCAGCAACAGGTTGTTGATGTTATCACCCATATAGCTGCATCTGCATCCAAGTTTCCGAAAAAATGTGTTGTTCTTTGCCTTCTTGGTGAGTATTCGGGTTGTTAAACATCAAGGAGTACAGTGGGATTGTTTAAACATACTTGAATTGGATAATTGGTGTCTGGGGCCTGGTTTTTTCAGCCAGTGGCCTCTACCACATCTGGTTGGATAGTTTTTTGCCTAAGTTGCAGTTGTATTATGGCAGTTTCTATCCATTGACTGATTTATAATTTTGATTTAATATGCCTTATTGATAGGCATAAGTGAGCGGGTTGCAGATGTCAAGACCCGTGCTCATGCCATGAAGTGCCTTACTACTTTTTCTGAAGCTGTAGGCCCAGGATTTATTTTTGAAAGAGTAAGTCTGTCTGCACTTTTCATACTTCATTAATTTGGCTATAAATAAAGGTCTACATGTAGCATATACTTAGCTGGAGTCCCCTACTGAGGAAGGAAGGTCTGCTCTTCTATTGATTTGGTAATTTTTCCCTACTTTGTTGGTTTGACTAATATCTTTGAGTTTGCTTTGTTCTAGCTTTTCAAAATCTTGAAGGAGCACAAGAATCCCAAAGTTCTTAGTGAGGGCATTTTATGGATGGTTTCTGCAGTTGAAGACTTTGGTGTTTCACACTTGAAACTTAAGGTGTTTCCAGTTCTTATTGTTATCATCTCATCGAATTTCATATATTCTTCTTTTGGTTTTCCTTGTGGATAAGTGTTGCAGTGCATATTATGACAATTAGTGAATTGATTATTTATTCACTTATTGTACCTGTGAGTAGAAATGTCCTTGTTCAAATTGTGATAGTGGGATATTTCTGATTGTTTTTTATAGGATTTAATTGACTTTTGCAAAGATACCGGTTTGCAATCGAGTGCTGCTGGCACAAGAAATGCCACTATTAAACTAATTGGTGCTTTACATAAGTTTGTTGGTCCAGGTTAGTCGTCAACTGGTTTGTGAAACCATGGGTATCTTGTCCTGATGAGGGGAATTCTAAGGTATCATTTTTTGTAGCAGATATCAAGGGATTTCTTGCAGACATCAAACCTGCTCTTCTTAGTGCACTTGAAGCAGAGTATGAAAAAAATCCATTTGAGGTATGATTGAGATGGGGTCCACCGTTCTGTTCCTGATGATTTATTATTTTGAGGTTCTTAATTGCTCTATTAATTTGTTGCAGGGTGCATCTGCAGTTCCAAAGAAAACTATAAAGGTATTGGAATTCACATCATCATTGTCTGGTGGTGGGCTAGATAGCCTACCACGTGAAGATATTAGTGGAAAGATTACACCTATGTTGCTGAAGGGCTTTGAAAGTACTGATTGGAAGGTCTGGGTTTTACCATAAATAGTTTATTGTAAAATGGTCTTGTAACTCTTGTTTTTGTGTGGTTGCGATGAATGCACTCTTGATTGGAATGATCCTCCTGAATATGCTGTTTCTTTTTGTTCCAGGTTCGTTTAGAATCAATTGAAGCTGTAAATAAAATCTTGGAAGAGGCCAATAAACGCATCCAACCAACGGGAACTGGTATTATGTCATTTACATACATGCAACAGTTATACATTTGTACTGTATTGTCAACATGTTAGTGTTACTTCTTTTGCTTTAAGGCTATTGCTTTTGTGTAACCAATCCCTTGATTTTTGTTTTGATTTTGACTTTCAGTGGAGTTGTTTGGTGCTCTGAGAGGGCGCCTCTATGACAGCAACAAAAATTTAGTAATGGCAACTTTGTCTGCTGTTGGTGCTGTTGCATCTGCAATGGGACCAGCTGTTGAAAAGTCTAGCAAGGTTTTTTGTTAATCCTAGATTTTGTTATAGCTTTGTATTCTATTGTCCTTTAAATTTTACGTTAATACTGGAAAGTGGTTTCTTGCAGGGTATTCTATCAGATGTTTTGAAATGCATTGGTGACAATAAAAAGCATATGAGAGAAAGCACTTTGACTACTCTAGATTCTTGGCTTGCTGCTGTTCATCTTGACAAAATGGTTTGCGTCTCGAATTTTTCTATATTTGTTTACCTTTTGTTTTATTCATCCCACTTCTCTAATACCATGACAATTTTTTTCTGTCTTAGATGCCTTGCCTTACTGCTGCTCTAATGGACGCTAAGCTTGGTGCTGAAGGGCGCAAGGACCTTTTTGATTGGGTATCAAAGCAACTGAGCGGATTAAATGATATGGTTGATGCCATACATCTCCTAAAACCAACTGCTTTTGCTATGATGGTATTCAGTATAGAAATTTTGAAAATTTTAGACGAAAATTAATCTAAGGGCAATATGCACATTCATTTTATCACTTGATTGAATTGTATGTTTTGTCCATTTTCATATAGGATAAATCAGCAGAAGTTCGTAAAGCAGCAGAAGTATGCATTGGTGAAATTTTGAGAGTTTGTGGGCAAGGAACAGTATGTGAACTCCAAAGTTTTTGGTGCATTTTTTCAATTTTGTTGAAATTTAGCAGAACTCCTGAGCTTTTTATCATCTTATTATATGTCCAGGTGTCTAAGAATATGAAAGATATTCATGGACCCGCCTTAGCTATTGTTCTTGAACGACTGAAGCAGTATGGGGCTTTCCAAGGTATGTTGTAGTAAACCTTGATGAGGTTTCATTTTCTCTGTTTCTTCGGCTTTGCAGCTTCATGCTAATATAGTTTTTTTGATCTCAGAAACATTTGAATTGGCAAAGGAAATATCGACTGGGCTGACATCCAAAAGTAGCTCAAAAGTTGGAAAATCTAGCTCTAATGGTCATGGTGATTGTTTACCAAAGCATGGAAGCAGGCCTGTTTCTTCGGTATGTTTTTACCCGCTTTAGTTATTGTTTTGTTTCTGTTTCTTGAAGAATGATAAAAATACTGATTTTTTTCATGGTTTGGGAAGAGAATTGTTTCAACAAAGGTCTCGCGGCCGGAATCAATTATGTCTCTGCATGATATCACCATTCAGTCTCAAGCTTTGTTGAATGTCAAGGATTCGAGTAAGGTATATATTGGATAGGTATACGTGCTTCAAGTCTATGTACTTTATTGGTTTAGTGCAGCTGTCATTGGATTGAGCTGTGTGCAGGCCGACAGGGAGAGATTGGTTGTCCGCAAGTTTAAATTTGAAGAGCCACGGTTTGAACAAATACATGATCTTGAGGTATGTGCTTTTGAGCATTCAACGGATGGTTTCTTGCTTTGCTGTTGGATCTCTCAGAATTTGGCAGGTACCTTGATTGTTTCTATGCCGCAGAATGATCTTATGAAGTATTTCAGAGAGGATTTGCATAGGAGGCTTCTGAGCACAGACTTCAAGAAGCAAATTGATGGAATTGAGATGCTGTATAAGGTGCTTTTTTGTGTTACACATTTGTGGTGATTTGGATTTACTCTAAATATGTGAATGACCTGCCTAATTCTAGCTTATGTTGACTGTACAGGCACTTCGATCCATTGAAAAGGAAATAGTTGAAATTCTGGATATTCTTCTCAGGTGGTTTGTTTTGCGTTTCTGTGAATCTAACACAACATGCCTACTGAAGGTATGGTATTTGATTAATTCTGAGTGTTTAGATGTTCATTCTGCAGTCAATTCAGGTAATGGGTTAGATGCTATTAAATTCAGTTTTTGTGTTATTCAAAAAAAGGTACTTGAATTTCTTCCTGAACTTTTTGATACGTTAAGGAGTAAGGGTTACATGATGACGGAGTCAGAAGCGGCCATTTTTCTTCCTTGCTTGATTGAGAAGGTACAAGAAGCCTTAACTGCTTGAATTTAATGCCTCTAGATTCTGTTAGAAATTTGCAGTTTTGTTTTGCCCAAGCTGAAAAGAGGGTGGAAAATTTGCGTGCTGGCAGTTTTTGTCCTGAATCCTTTGTCAGAATTCAATCTGTTCTGTTTTCTTGCTTTCTTTCTTTCCAATTTTTTTTCCCTATATATATATATATATTTTGGGGAGATATTGCAGTGTTTATAACATAGATTGACCTTTTCTTTAGTATCAGGATGTTGTTTCTGGGTTAGGCCCCATAAAAATTGTTATGGATCTGTTTGCCTCTTTCTTTTTGTTTGGTTTGGATTTGCCTGGCTATGTTTGGAGGTTAGAACTTGGCCCAAAGTTTTCGCCGGGTTGAGATGCTTTCATTTTTACTTGTTTAATGCTAATTTTTAAGTACCACCATTACTTGTGTTTGGATTTTCTTAGTTTGGTTATCATGACATCAGGATTTTCAAACATATTTTTGAATTTTTGCCTTCTTCGTTTACTGCAGTCTGGACATAACATTGAGAAAGTACGAGAAAAAATGCGAGAATTGATTAAACAAATCATTCATGCATTTTCAGCAGCAAAAACTTTTCCTTATGTCTTGGAGGGTTTGCGTTCCAGAAACAATCGAACCCGGATTGAGTGTGTGGATCTTGTTGGATTCTTAATTGATAACCATGGAGCAGAGGTAAAATATGGAATGCTATTTAATCTTTTTTCTTCTTTGAAAGGTGCTGAGTCTTCTATAATTTGCCTACAGATTGTGGGGCAGTTGAAATCCTTGCAGCTTGTTGCAAGCCTAACAGCAGAACGAGATGGTGAAATTCGGAAGGCTGCTTTAAATACTCTAGCTACAGGTTATAAGATCTTTGGTGAGTTCTGCTCTTATCAAGCTGTAGACTTTATTTGGTGTTTGGTTTCTTGGAATACACAAGGGCTTGAAGTTTTAAATCCTGCTTAATTTTTAATTGATTGCTTCTAGGCATTGTGTTTGTTTTAATCCTTTTTCCATTAATTTTAACTTTGGGAAGAAATGCCAATGCTTGCTTACAGAAAATTATTTATTTAGTAGTTTTCTTAGAATGTTTATTGTATTCTTTAGTGTCAGCTGCTTGGGCTGTCTGATTCAATTTTTTCTTAGGTGATGACATATGGAGATATGTTGGAAAGCTGACAGAAGCTCAAAGGAGCGTGTTAGATGATAGATTTAAATGGAAGGTTGGTACATATTTGCACTAATTGTTGTGCTTTAAGTGTTTCTGCTTCTTCCATTCATCATGCTGTGTTTTGTCAGGCCCGAGACATGGACAAAAGGAATGAGGGAAAACCTGGAGAAGCAAGGGATGTTTTTAGGCGTTCTGTTAGGGAAAATGGGTGTGTCTCTCTAGATTTTCTACTAAACACCTTCCGTATTATTGTCCAAATTTATGTATTAGGCATTTTCTTCCTTCTTTAATTTGACTTTATTTATCGTGCATTGTTCCTTGAAGTTTTAATGCATGATGTTTGTCTGGATGTGAGAATATATCCATATGCAAGAAACATTCCTACTTTAGAAAATCTTTGGCAATGCATCGTGGATGCCTATGCTAAAACTGGATTATTTTTGTATTATTTATTTTGAAGTTCTTGTATATTGATCTTGATGAGAAAGACATGCAAACTCGGCATGATAATTAAAATGTTTAAATTCCTATGTCTTCATTTTGATATTTAATATTTGTTCCAACACAATCCCTGTAAAGTGGTAGATGTGCCAGTGCCAACAACCTTTTTTCTGGTCAAATATTCATTCTATGTGGTAATAGGATAGATGTGTTTAGTGATTAGTAAGATAACCATTGTCAAGTTAGTTATTTCAGGATGCATTAGGTCTTGAGCCAGACCAATCACTGTATTGTTCTTGAGAAACAAGCTTTTATTTTACTGCTACAAAAATTCTATGTTTTTTCTTTTTTTGGGATGAAGTAAAGTGGCTACTTCTTTTTCAATCTGATGGAGCTGTTTCTTTTTGACAAAGCTGTTGGCAAGTGGGCCAAGTATGCTCATGTTTCATGCATTCGATACTGTAAATTTGTGATGTTGTAGCATACAAAGATCACATCATCTGGTGTCATGCTTAGATAATTTTTTTCTGCATTTACACCTTACACTTGACCCTCCTTTTGTTGGTATCATTTTCTATGGGAAGACGTGAAGTTTGAATGGATCTTGTACCAGTTACTTGTAGGTGAAAATTCTCTTTCATGCAGTTCATGTTAGACCAAATGAGAAACAAATCGTTGCAATACTAAATATCCGTTATCGTCATAAGAAAGTATTAAGTCATACAAGATCTAGGTTTTTTAATCTCTCGTTCCACATGTCAAGATTGCTGGTGTCATTTCCTCTTCCTGTAAGTTGTGACAATGGCAACTGTTTAGGGTTTAGGGTTTAGGGTCTGATATATATATATATATATATATTTGTTGCTTCTGTTTCCTATTTCTTTGTTGGACTAGGCATCTTTTTTGTGAATGGGCCCGGCTGTTTCAATTGTTTTTCCAAATGGACAAGTTACTTACTGTTCACGGTTCCAGTTTCTTTATATTTAAGGTGTCTTTGAAATGTTATCCTGGTTATATTTGTTGTTATGTTGTTTTAAAAGTAATGTGTGCTTGTTTTTAGCTTTGTTTCTTGCTGTTTGTTATTATATTGTGTTAGAATTTATGTATTATTGATTAATGAATTGATTGATTTTCTGTCTATTACAAATGGTTCCTTATATAGATGTAGGTGTAGTGGATGTAGGTGTAGTGGATGGTGGTAGTGGTGTAGTGGGTTAGGTTTAGTGGAGTAGGTGAGGTGGTAGTGGTGTAGTGGATGGTAAATTCTAACAGCCCCCCGCAAACTCAAGGAGGATAGAAACTAACCAACTTGAGTTTGGAGAGAGGAACAAAACAAGAAAATACATAAAAATAAAAAAAGATAGGAGACACTGTATGGTCGTGTCAGACCGTTGGTGAAGACACTGTATGGTGGTGTCATAACGAACACCACTATCATATGCCACTATCTTATTATATGCATTAACACAAATTTCCAGCAGAAGGTACAAGAAGCCTTAACTGCTTGAATTTAATGCCTCTAGATTCTGTTAGAAATTTGCAGTTTTGTTTTGCCCAAGCTGAAAAGAGGGTGGAAAATTTGCGTGCTGGCAGTTTTTGTCCTGAATCCTTTGTCAGAATTCAATCTGTTCTGTTTTCTTGCTTTCTTTCTTTCCAATTTTTTTTCCCTATATATATATATATATTTTGGGGAGATATTGCAGTGTTTATAACATAGATTGACCTTTTCTTTAGTATCAGTATGTTGTTTCTGGGTTAGGCCCCATAAAAATTGTTATGGATCTGTTTGCCTCTTTCTTTTTTTCTTTTTTTTTGGTTTGGATTTGCCAGGCTATGTTTGGAGGTTAGAACTTGGCCCAAGTTTTCCCCGGGTTGAGATGCTTTCATTTTTATTTGTTTAATGCTAATTTTTAACTACCACCATTACTTGTGTTTGAATTTTCTTAGTTTGGTTATCATGACATCAGGATTTTCAAACATATTTTTGAATTTTTGCCTTCTTCGTTTATTGCAGTCTGGACATAACATTGAGTAAGTACGAGAAAAAATGCGAAAATTGATTAAACAAATCATTCATGCATTTTCAGCAGCAAAAACTTTTCCTTATGTCTTGGAGGGTTTGCGTTCCAGAAACAATCGAACCCGGATTGAGTGTGTGGATCTTGTTGGATTCTTAATTGATAACCATGGAGCAGAGGTAAAATATGGAATGCTAGTTGGATCTTTTTTCTTCTTTGAAAGGTGTTGAGTCTTCTATAATTGGCCTACAGATTGTGGGGCAGTTGAAATCCTTGCAGCTTGTTGCAAGCCTAACAGCAGAACGAGATGGTGAAATTCGGAAGGCTGCTTTAAATACTCTAGCTACAGGTTATAAGATCTTTGGTGAGTTCTGCTCTTATCAAGCTGTAGACTTTATTTGGTGTTTGGTTTCTTGGAATACACAAGGGCTTGAAGTTTTAAATCCTGCTTAATTTTTAATTGATTGCTTCTAGGCATTGTGTTTGTTTTAATCCTTTTTCCATTAATTTTAACTTTGGGAAGAAATGCCAATGCTTGCTTACAGAAAATTATTTATTTAGTAGTTTTCTTAGAATGTTTATTGTATTCTTTAGTGTCAGCTGCTTGGGCTGTCTGATTCAATTTTTTCTTAGGTGATGACATATGGAGATATGTTGGAAAGCTGACAGAAGCTCAAAGGAGCGTGTTAGATGATAGATTTAAATGGAAGGTTGGTACATATTTGCACTAATTGTTGTGCTTTAAGTGTTTCTGCTTCTTCCATTCATCATGCTGTGTTTTGTCAGGCCCGAGACATGGACAAAAGGAATGAGGGAAAACCTGGAGAAGCAAGGGCTGTTTTTAGGCGTTCTGTTAGGGAAAATGGGTGTGTCTCTCTAAATTTTCTACTAAACATTTTCCGTATTATTGTCCAAATTTATGTATTAGGCATTTTCTTCCTTCTTTAATTTGACTTTATTTATTGTGCATTGTTCCTTGAAGTTTTAATGCATGATGTTTGTCTGGATGTGAGAACATATCAATATGCAAGAAACATTCCTACTTTAGAAAATCTCTGGCAATGCATCGTGGATGCCTATGCTAAAACTGGATTATTTTTGTATTATTTATTTTGAAGTTCTTGTATATTGATCTTGATGAGAAAGACATGCAAACTCGGCATGATAATTAAAATGTTTAAATTCCTATGTCTTCATTTTGATATTTAATATTTGTTCCAACACAATCCCTGTAAAGTGGTAGATGTGCCAGTGCCAACAACCTTTTTTCTGGTCAAATATTCATTCTATGTGGTAATAGGATAGATGTGTTTAGTGATTATTAAGATAACCATTGTCAAGTTAGTTATTTCAGGATGCATTAGGTCTTGAGCCAGACCAATCACTGTATTGTTCTTGAGAAACAAGCTTTTATTTTACTGCTACAAAAATTCTATGTTTTTTTTTTTTTTGGGATGAAGTAAAGTGGCTACTTCTTTTTCAATCTGACGGAGCTGTTTCTTTTTGACAAAGCTGTTGGCAAGTGGGCCAAGTATGCTCATGTTTCATGCATTCGGTACTGTAAATTTGTGATGTTGTAGCATGCAAAGATCACATCATCTGGTGTCATGCTTAGATAATTTTTTTCTGCATTTACACCTTATACTTGACCCTCCTTTTGTTGGTATCATTTTCTATGGGAAGACGTGAAGTTTGAATGGATCTGGTACCAGTTACTTCTAGGTGAAAATTCTCTTTCATGCAGTTCATGTTAGACCAAATGAGAAACAAATCGTTGCAATACTAAATATCCGTTATCGTCATAAGAAAGTATTAAGTCATACAAGATCTAGGTTTTTTAATCTCTCGTTCCACATGTTAAGATTGCTGGTGTCATTTCCTCTTCCTGTAAGTTGTAACAATGGCAACTGTTTAGGGTTTAGGGTTTAGGCTCTGATATATATATATATATATATATATATTTGTTGCTTCTGTTTCCTATTTGTTTGTTGGACTAGGCATCTTTTTTGTGAATGGGCCCGGCTGTTTCAATTGTTTTGCCAAATGGACAAGTTACTTACTGTTCACGGTTCCAGTTTCTTTATATTTAAGGTGTCTTTGAAATGTTATCCTGGTTATATTTGTTGTTATGTTGTTTTAAAAGTAATGTGTGCTTGTTTTTAGCTTTGTTCCTTGCTGTTTGTTATTATATTGTTTGCTTATGTTGTCACAAGCAATGGCTACCAGCAGTTGATATTATTATTATTAATACCCTTCCCAGACCCCTAGTAGAGGGAGCCTTGTGCACTGGGCTGCTCTTTTTCTATTATTAATATTAATACCCAAAGTCTTTATGCTAGAAATAGTTTGTGTGGCTTGAACAAAGATTTGATTTTTCTTTTCTTAGCTATTAAGTTGTCTTGTCAACAGAAACAAATGTTTTGCACAATGTGTTACATGGATATTGTTGAGTTATAATTATTTTGGAAGTTTGACCTTTCAACATGTCTGCGTTATGATCTCTAGGTCTGATGCAGCAGAACAAAGTGGTGAAGTTTCACGGTCTGTATTTGGCCCAATCATTACTAGGTACTGCAGGATTTCTGCCTTTCAAATTTTTTTTTTCCCACTCAACTCTATTGCATCTTGGTTTGCTTATGGTGTTATAGTTATCCTTCTTTGGATTCTAATATGTATATCTATACTTTTTTAGGGAGAATTTTGCCCATTCTGAGCTTGGCATGGCGAGGCATTCAATTCCCCAAACAATTGCTAGTGCACATGGCCCTACTGACTGGAATGAAGCCCTTGAAATCATTGAATATGGCCCCCCTGAGCAGGTTCTCATTTACATTGTGTAATTTTAGTGTCATCTATTGTACAGATGTGTTAGATTCACATATATGTTGCCAGATCGAATTTGCATTTTCTGAGCTGTTAGCATCTAGTTGATATTTACTTTTTTCTTTTGTTTTTCCCTTGTTAGCGCACTTGGATTTTTGTTTAAGAGAGAGAAGAGAGAGCAGTTCTATCCCCATCTGGGCACAAGGAGTCTCACCCATTGCGAACATACCACATATTACTGGGATAAATCACCGTAAGTGGCCATAGAATCAACCCCTTGGGGCTGCTGGCCCTAGTATTAACTGTAGGGTTAGAGAAGAGAGAGAGTTAGAAAATGAGTAAGACCTCATCCCGATTTATATTGATAATAATATGTAATTACAGGATTGCCATTAGGCATAAATCATGGGCCAATCCATTACATCAATCAAGGGAAAATAAAATCAAATAAGAATAAAATCTAGCAATTATTATTTCCCATTATAACATATTCTAACACTTCCCTTCAAGCTGATGTGAAGATATTTATCATGCCTAGCTTGTTGAGAATGTCATGAAATGGTTTCCTCCCTATTCTTTTGGTGAGAACATTTGCTAGTTGGTCCCCAGTCTTCACAAATGGTGTACATATAGTGCCACTAGTGAGCTTTTCCTTGATGAAGTGCCTATCAATCTCCACATGCCTGGTTTTGTCATGTTGAATTGGATTATGAGTTATGTTAATCGCTGTCTTGTTGTCACAGTATAATCTCATGGAATTAGTCTAATGGATCCCCAAGTCTCCCAACAATAGCTTAATCCATAGCGCCTCACATACACCTTGAGTCATAGCCTTGAATTCTGCCCCAGCACTAGATCTAGCAACCATATTCTGTTTCTTACTTCACTATGTGACTAGGTTGCTTCCAACAAATGTACAATATCTAGAAGTTGATCATCTGTCAATGACTGATGCAACCCAATCCGCATCAGTAAATGCCTCCACACTAAGATATCCATGCTTTGAGAAATAAAGACCCTTTCCAGGAGAAGATTTCAAGTACCTCAAGATTCTCATAACTGCCTCTAAGTGGGAATGTCTAGGAGCATGCATAAATTGACTAACTATGCTCACTGCAATGGCAATGTTTGGATGCGAGTGGGATAAGTATATGAGCTTATCTACTAGCCTCTGGTATCTCCCCTTTGATCCTCACTTAGTTTCTAACTCAGTTCTAGAGGTGTATCACATGGTCTACCTCCAAGCATTTCAATTTCCTTTAACAAGTCAAGTACATACTTCCTCTTGCATAAGAAGATGCTATCCTTAGACCGAGTTACTTCAAAGCCTAAAAAATACTTCAAATTATCCAAATCTTTGATTTCAAACTCCTTCAACCGAGGGATCTCCTCACTATCATCCCCTGTCAAAACAATATCATCAACATAAACAATAAGAGCTGTGGTCTTACCATGTGAAGAGTGTTTCACAAATAAGGTGTGATCAGCTTGACTTTGCTTGAACCCATATCTCAGCATAGCTTGAGCAAACCTTTCAAACCAAACCCTAGGAGACTGCTTTAGCCCATAAAGTGACTTCCGGAGCTTGCACACTTTACCTTTGGACCTAGCATCCTCAAAGCCAGGGGAAATATCCATATAGACCTCTTCTTCTAAGTCTCCATGAAGGAATGCATTCTTCACATCAAACTGATGAAGTGACTAATTCAAATTTGCTACAACAGAGTAGTATTCTCACAAAATTCATCTTAAAAACCGGTGGAAATGTCTCCTGGTAATCTACCCCGTAAGTTTGAGTGAAGCCCTTAGTAACCAGTCTTGTTTTGTACCATTCTATGGAACCGTTTGCTTTGTGTTTTATAGTGTACATCCACTTACACCCAATTAGATTTTTGCCTCTAGGTAACTCTACTAACTCTCAAGTACCATTTTTGCTGAGAGCTCTCATCTCTTCCATCATGGCATGTTTCCATTCAAGAATGGAGAGAGCATCCTGAAAATTGTTAGGCAGATTCACAGAAGAAATTTTAGACAGAAAGGCTTTATATGAGGGAGACAGATTAGAATAAGAGACATGATCAACAATAGGATGCTAAGTACATGGCCTAACCCCTTTCCTATTAGCAATGGGAACATCAAGATCTAAGAACTCAGGAATAGGAGTATTAGGATTAGAATTACCTGGACTCTTAAGAAAAGGGGATGACTCCGGACACTTATCCGGAGAAGAAATTGGTAGTAGAGGAGGGAAAGTAGTCTCTTGCATCCAGATGACTTTCTGTCTATCTTTGTTCCTGACATAAACTTTGCCTTCTTTTTCCACAACAATTGCTGGCTCAACATCCTCTATCTGTTCAACCACTGGTGGTAGTGGCACACGAGTCTCTCCACACCAAGGCTCTCCCTGAATGGATGACTGTGACATTGGGGAGGTCGGAAAGTAAGGCTAAGACTCGAAGAAAGTGACATCCATAGAGATAAACTATTTGCGAGATGGAGGATGATAACACTTATAGCCCTTTTAGGTGGCAGAGTAACCCAAGAAAACACACTTAAGAGACTTAGGGTCCAATTTATCATGAGTGGGTGAATGATTATGGATAAAAGAAACACATCCAAAGGTCTTAGGGGATATGGAGAACCCAAAAAGATGTGGGCCCAAACAAAACCTGAAAAGGGGTTCGTTTCTGAAGGACTTGGGTGGGAAGACGATTAATCAAATAAGCGGCAGTGAGAACCATTTCCCTCCAATATGATCAAGGGACACACGTTTCAAAGGATAGACAACGGGCCACATCAAGGAGATGGCGATTTTTCTGTTCTGCAACACCATTTTGTTAAGGAGCATTAGTGCAAGGAGTTTGGTGAATAATGCCATGGGTGGCAAAATAATTGGCAAGACCAGGGTCAATATATTCCCTCCCATTATCAGAACGCAGAATTTTTACAACCGCCCCAAACTTAGTGCAAACCATTCTATGAAAGTTTTGAAACACAGAAAACACTTCACTCTTGTCTTTCATCAGATATACCCGAGTGACCCTAGAATAGTTATCTATGAAAGTAGCAAACCATCTTTGACCTTTTAAAGAAAAAACAGGTGGGATCTCATACATTAGAATGAATCAAAGAAAATGGAATTGAATTTTTATTAATAGAAGGAGCAAAAGAAGTTCTGTGTTGCTTTCCAAGTTGACATGAGTCACACTGAAAATCAGACACATTATTTTTCTCAAAAACAGAAGGAAAAAGATGCTTAAGAAATAAAAAAGAAGAATGTCCTAAGCGACAATGCCATAGCCATCTTCGTTGGTAGATGGTAACTGAATAGATAAATGAGCCAGCTTATCAGTCTGATGTAGAATATAGAGACTATGTTCCGCTCTACCACTGCCAATCCTCTGACTCGTGATAAGGTCATGAAAAAGACAGTGATCAGGAAAAAAACGTCACGCTATAATTCAAATCACGAGTAATACGACTCAAAGACGGAGATTAATACTAAAATTGGGAACATGGAGTACAAAAGGATAAAAGAAGGGAAGAAGTGGCATGAATTGAACCTTTTTCTGACACAGACGAAATAGTACTGTCAGTAATACGCACTAAAAGGGTTTATACTCTGAGAACAAGTCAGAGGAACCAGACATATGGTCGGAAGCACCAGAATCAATAATCCATGGAACAATCTTATGAGATATTACCTGAGTTGGCAAGGGAAGAAGAGGATGCACCAGAGACAGTAGTAGAGGCTTGACGGTCTAGCAAGTGGTGAAGAGCAATCTCAAACTTTGAGGCAGACAACCCAGAAACATCAACAGCTGGTGAGGCAATCGGAGCAGAAGGTGGTGGCTCAACTGTGTCAAAAAGATGTGCCCAAGCATTGGCCTTTCGACCTCTAGTCTGCCTCGACCTACCTTTTCGAGAACCGAGACGATCGCCTTGGCCACTAGGAGGAGCCCTATGCAGCTTCTAGCAAGTCTTTCGGGTGTGTCGAGGTTGACGGCAGTAGTCACATAAAAGACTATCCTTCTCAGAGGAAGGACGAGAACCACGAGGCATGCGCTCTCTATCTCGAGAGGGTGCAGAAACCAAGGCAAAGCGATTAGTAGTTGCAGAAAGAAGCATTGCAGAGCGACGACTCTCCTCATTCTGCACAAAAGCCAAGGCTTCCTAGAGAGAAGGAAACACATCCATGCCAAGTACTCTGCTCTGAACTGGATCATACTCTACATTCAGGCCTTCCAAGAACTTAAAGACTTGCCGTTGCTCCACAAACTTCAGGTAACCAGTAGAATCAGTGGGACAGAAAGGCTTGTAATCTTGAAGGTGATCAAGCCTACTTCCACCTATTGTTAAGGAAGGTAAAATACTAGAGTATAATCATCTCACCTTGTACCGACCTTTCAATGGAGCGATGTAACTCGAAAGTCGGTGAGAAGTTTCCCTTCCTGAAATTAGTAGCAACAACCTCTCAAATATCCCATGCAATGTCCATAGCCAAATAGCCCTCTCCAATCTTAGGGACCATAAAGTGGATCAACCAACCTATGATGAGAGAGTTGGTGATTTCCCATTGATCATAACTAGGGTCCGTGATGCTGGGTGCCTGTATCCTTCCATTAACATACCCCATCTTCCCTCGGCTTTTCAAAAAAAATAGTCAGACTCTATCACTTGGCTATATAATTTTTGACCATTGAATAGAGAGTTGGTGATTTTTAGGCCAAGATTGAGGTTATCAGTCATAGTAAGAGGTATAATGGAACTCTCGATCTTAAGTAGCTGAAAGGTAGTGGACTCACTAATGGAATCTCCCATGGATACTCTCCTATTGAACTCTCAAACACAATGCCAATCACAAACCTGGAAGATAATAATGGAAGGAAAGACACAACTACCACGATGAAAGTATAAAAAATTAAAAACTCAGTGTTTTTTTTTTTTTTTTTTTTTTTTTTTAAAAAAAAAAAAAATTATTATTTATTTATTTAGA